TGCTCAATTCCCATGTAGCCGACCGCAGTTCGAGTCCCGGACCCGGTGGCTTAAACTCACGCCAGGCACGTGTGCATGTGTGCCCAAGATCCCGAGAGGAGAATGGAGGAGAAGGGATTGGGGCATGGCCATCCCCTCTGGGGGGTGATTTCTCACTTTCTATCTCTCTGTCTCTCTCTTTCTGGTGAGTGCATATGCCCTATAGCAAAAACCTCTCCAAAAAAAAAAGCAAACACTTCATTGGCCTAGGGTTCAACAGCAAACCTCCTCCCCAAAGTTCATGACCTCCAGATACTTCCAACCACTCTCAATTCAGCCATGTCTGTGGAAGAATGAGCGAGCTGCAAAGCAGAATGTGGTTAAAGCCCTTCCAGGGCTGCTGAGAGCTCTCAGTTCAGAACGTGGCCCTGGCCCGGAAAGCTCCCTCTACCATCATTTCTAATCCCTTCCCTCCTTCCTGCACCCCCTGTGCCTCTCTGAGAGGGGCCAATGTGGAACATTCTCTGAGTCCCGCTTCCCGGCTCGCCCGCAGAGCCATGCTGTTCGGCACTCTCTGAAGGAAAACAGCAGAACTCGGTCTCCCCAGTCTGTGTGGGGGTGTCAGGGCACCTCCAAGGCTCTAGGCACAGGGCCCGGGCTGGTCACGGTGTCTCCAGGTGACTCGCCCTCAGAATAAAGCTTCTGTATTTCCTCAAGGCATGAGGTGAGATGTCTTTGCCGACTATGACACTCCTGTATCAAGTAAAACTCTGAATTTAAGGAAAACATATTAATTTGACTAATTTCTAATTATAGAGTGGAACATTACTTGGAGCAGACTTCCCAGTGCACTCTGACCCCTAGGTACCGTCAGACCCGTGACCCTCCTCTGACATTAGCTGTCACACACGGGCCTAGAGCGCGCCCTCGGGACCTGCGGTCACCAGGCCACCCTCTCATGGCTCTGCTCCCTGGCTCTCCTCTCGTCATGCAAATAACCTTTGTGAGGCTACAACTTTGGCCGCTTGGTGAAAGCACGTGAGTGCTTCATTTTTGCTGAGCCTGAGAAATGCTCTTAGTCCGTTTTCCTAGAGCCTGCCCTGTCCTTCCTTTCCTGGCCTGCTCAGGATGGAGTGTGCTGGGGCAAGCACAAGCCATCTGCGTGTGAATGGCCTCAGGTCTGCCCACCTGGGGGACTTCTCCACCTGACACCTTCTCTCCAGCCCTCTGCAGGTTGCAGTCAGGGTTTGTCTACAGGCCCCGGTTTGCTCAGAATACCTAATGCAGGGATGGCAACCAGGTTTCAGGTTGTTCATTAACTCTGACTGATTGGAAGTGGCTATTGGGGGCATCAATCAATTAACAACGACTGCTGGGGTGTGTGTATGAATGTGAATGCGTGTCTGCGTGTGCGCGCGTGTGGGGGCTGCAGGACTCATGTTAGATATTCACCATCATTGACTCAACTCTTTCTATAAAACTCTGCCCTATTTACAACCTGGAACTATTTTCTGCAGTAGTTGAGAGAAACCTTAGCTAAAGCGTTAGTAATTTCCCTTCCTTTCTTTTTCTTTCTTTTTCTTCTTTTTTATTTTCCTTCCTTCCTTCCTTCCTTCCTTCCTTCCTTCTTTCCTTCCTTCCTTTCTCTCTCTCTCTCTCTCTCTCTCTTTCTTTCAAGATTTTTACTATAGGGCTCATATGCTCACTGGAGAGACAGAAAGTGAGAAATCACCCTTCCAGGGGGATGGCCACACCACAATCCCTTCCCCTCCATTCTTCTCTCAGGATTTTAGGCATGCACTCACATGCACCCGGTGTGAGTTTTAAGCCTCTGGGTATAGGACTCAAACCGTGGTCAACTAGTGGGAGCAGAGTGATGTAACCATTACACCATCTGCTGGTCCCAATGCACCAGGAACTTTCACAGTGCCCTTAAGTAGACCCTGACGAGGTTCTCTGCAGAGACGGGCTGTGCTTCCGTCTAGGGTGCTGCGGCCAGGGAGTGGCGAGCTGCAGCTTCCCGAGTACAGGCATGCTGTATGGTGACTGGGGACCGTCCCACTCTGTGAGCACCGCCCTCACCACGTACTGCCAGGTGCAGCAGACAAGCCATACTTAGCAGCTCTGGTTAGGAGTTGACGAGCCCCCGTGTCAGAGCTCAGGGCCGAGACCGGCTGGCCGCAGGTGCGCGGCGAAGGGCGAAGGGCGTCTCTCGCAGCCCCGACTGCCCCTGGCTTCCACCGGCTCCTGCAAACAAGAGCACCCATGGTTCCTTCTGCAGGTGCAGCTCTCCAGGAAGTCCCAGGTCTGGAGACATGGTGCCTGGCCCTCAGGCACGCAGGATCAGAGGACTAGGTCACAGAGCGCTCGGGCCTGCGGTGAGGGGCGACAGCCTGAAAGGACGAAAGACCTATCTGAAAACCGACTCCCCAAGAATAACTTTCAGAGCCTGGGGTCACAGGGGCTGCTAGTGATTCCTCTCATCCGGCCCACCGCCCCATTAAGATGGAGCTTCTGAAGCCCCTTCACAGGAAGAGCCAAGATTCCAAGATGCTTTTGTCACCTGCTGCACAGTCTGTCACTGAGTGATCAGCTGAGGAGGACATGGAAACCGAACCGTTCTGAGCAACAGGTACTGACTGAAGTCTCGGACTTCTAGCTGGGGGTGTGCAGAGTCGGGGTGCGGCACCCAGACTGGCCCCACTAGGTAGTCCCTGTCCTGTACGGAGGAGGCAGGGTGGTGGAGGGTTTAGCCACCAGCTCTGAGAGAACACAGACATGGGTTCAGCTTCTGGGGGGTCTGGTGAGTGTGCATCACCTCGGCAAGTTATTTAAACCTTTCTGAGCTCGTTTCCCCACCTGTAAGCTGGAGGTGACAGCCCCCTGCAGAAGGGCTGTGGGGTTAAACGCCGTGAGCCGTGACAGGCCCTTAGCTTGGTGTCTGGGACATCTGCTCACCGCTGTTGCTGGTGCAGGGAGCTTTGAGAGGTCATCTCTGCGGGCTGGTGTGGCACGCAGCACAGAGCCCGCGGCTGGGCTTGACTTCCAGACGTACCGAGTGAGTCGGAAAGTGGAAAATGCAACAACGATTCCCTGGTCACCTCTTCCAGAGTGGCAGACACCAGCACCAACCTCCTCATGTTCCTGCCCCAACCTGCTCCTTCTGTATCTCCCACTGCTCAGCCCTGACCCTTGATCCCTCTCTCTGTCCTGCCCAGATGCACACCGCAGGAAAACCTGTCCTGCCTGGCTCATCATGCCGCCTGAGGAGGGCGCTGTACCTTGCCACCTTCTCTTCATCCTGTACTCACTGGAGGCTGTCAGGTCTAAAACGGTCTAAGGGTTTCCAAGCACCTTCGGGTGAGAGGCAGCATGCCCAGGGCAGTTCCCAGGTCTGCCCTCCCACCTTGTTCCACCTTCCCCTCCCAGCCAGTCACCTGCCCCCCACTCCGGAACACGCTGGACCTCCGCCTGCCTGGGTGTCCACCCCATTGCTCCCTCTGCCGGCAGCTTTTCCCAGGTACCCCATGGTTTGCTATTTCCTCTTCTTCCTAGTTTAGATATCACCTTCTCTGTGAGGCTTTTTCACCTACACTATTTTATTTTATTTTTTGGAGAGGTTTTTGCTATAGGACGCGTGTGCTCGCCAGACAGACAGAGAGACAGAGAGACAGAAAGCGAGAAATCACCCTCCAGAGGGGAATGGTCACGCCGCAATCCCTTCTCCTCCATTCTCCTCTCGGGATCTTGGGCATGCACACACACGCGCCCAGCGTGAGTCTCAAGCCACCGGGTCCGGGATGCGAACCGCGGTCGACTATGTGGGAGTCCAGCGACATAGCCATTATGCTAACTGCTGGTCCCCACCGCCAATATTTTAAATCGTCCTCTGTAGCTGACTGAATAGCAGCCTTTAAAGAGAGCAATGGGGCTGGCCCTGCAGCCCAGTGGTTAAGGGACCCTGGCTCCTACATGGTTGACTGTGGTTTGGATTCTAGTCCCAGTGGCTTGCAAAACATCCTGGGTACACACGCGTGTATGCCCTACATCCTGATGGGATTGGTAAATGGGGGGAAGGGGTTGCAACATGGCCTCTCACTGGGGGGGTGTTCTCCCCCCACTCCATGGTGAGTGCACACACCCTCTGGCAGTTCCACCAACCAATAAAAATATGTCGGCATCACTAGAACTCGGGGATGCTCCCTTCAATGGCAGAGGGAACTTCGCTGTTGGGATTAAATTGAGGATCTTGGGATGCAGAGCTATCCCGGGTTATCCAGTTGGGGAATACTCCATGATAGACATGCAATCACATATGTCCTTGTAAGAGGGAGACAGGAGATTCGACTGCTGCTTCTTCCTTTTTTTTGAGAGAGATTTTTGCTGTAGGGCGTGTGCGCTTGCCAGAGACAGAGAGATAGAAAGTGAGAAATCACCCCCCATGGGGGGATGGCCACACCACAAGTAGTCCTTCTCCAGTGTCCTCTCAGGATCTTGGGCATGTGTACACCTGGCATGAGTTTTAAGCTGCCGGGTCTGGGACTTGAACCATGGTCAACTACGTGGAAGTCCAGCGATGCAACCATTTACGCCATCTGCTGGCCTCAAGGTTTGACTACTTCGAAGGAGAGGAGGCAATGTGACAGTGGAAGCAGAGATTGTGGCTTGCCACAAGCCAAGGAATGAGTGGGGCCTCAGAAGCAGGAGGAGGTCAGGATGGATCTCGCTCAAATCTCCCAAATCCTCTGTCTCTGCGACACTGATGGGACACTGACGATGGCAGTGTGCTCCACGGCCCAGGACTTTATTTCCTGATCTCACAGTGAGGGGCAAGCTCAGGCCTCACAGCCTCTCATTGCTTCCCGTGGGGTGTAGAAAGGGAAAGGAAGAGGGGGCTCTGACACCCCAGGGCAGAGGCCCAGCTCCCAGTCTGAGCCCCACTTGCGGGCTGTCTCTGGCTCAGGCTGCAGATCTGGACGCTCAGTCTCAGGCGCGGTCTCGGCTCGTGGTGAATCACTTACCTTGGTTGTCGTAGGAAGTGATGACCTGGGGCTGCGGAGGGTGCTGCTTCTCTGCCAGGTTTCCTATGTAAGGACAGAGAAGCCGGCAGTGAGCGCTGGGACCATGGTGGAGTTTTCCTTGGGCAGGACAGGGAGCTGTGTGTGTCTGCGGGAAGGCGGGCTGGTGGGGCCAAGCACAACCGCAGGCTGGGCCTACACACATTCATGGTCATCCCATGGCGTGCACACCCTGTGACCCAGCTAGGCCACAGCTGAACGTGAGGCAAATGCCCAGGAACCTTGATGCCCCTCAGAGGTGCCAGCATGGCAGGGCTTCGGCAGCAAGCTGTTGCCTTCGTGCTCTGTGTGGCCGGACGCTCGGCTGTGCTGCCGTTGGGCACTGTGCCAGAGCCCTTTCCCACACATGGAGGCCTCGCTGGTCTGCCCTGCTCTGTGCAGCAGGCTGGGAGGTTCTGAACTGAGGCTTGAGGCTTGACCCCAGCTCAGCCTTGCCTCCCTCTGAGAAGAACAGGGTTGGGGGACAGCCTGCGTGTGAGGGCAGCCCGGGAGTTGGGATGATGCAGTCTGGTTCCTGCTCACACGCATCCGCAGGACCACCGCTGCATGCAAATCTCTTCACACGCTAGAGGAGCTTCTGCCCCAGTGACGTAGAGCTGTCCTGAGGGCCCGGTGAGGTCAGGCTGCTGTAGAGAGGTGCCGCCAGCCATGGAGGTAGAGCCCACAGGCTTCCCTGCCTCGCCGACCAGAAGTGTGGCCTTTCCTACACCCTCCGGTGCAGCTGCTGTGGCCTAGTCTTCCTGAAGCCATGCTTGAGCTTTGGCTTCAGAGGGTCAGGGGAGGGGTGGTGGAGGGGCTAGGGTTGCATTGTGGCAGCAGGAGTTTCTTCCACTGTCACCACAGCCTGTCACCTTCTCCCACTGGCCCGGAATGGGGCTACCACTGGAAGTGACCACTGGGAACAAGAAGCCTCTGGGGTGCTGGTCTGAACAGGCTCCACTCAGGTGACTCCCCTGTGCACCTGACCAGCTCAGCCACTCAGTACTTTCCCTGCCTGGGCCCAAGCAAAAGCCAGTCATGGTGGGGGAGTGGGGCTGAGCACGACACCCACTTGGCAGGGTCTTGCCCGGGGGATTTGCCTGCCACAGCCTTGTTCTGTGCATGGGCCCAGCAGGTTCCTGAGCCTCCAGGCCACGGTCAGCCAGCAGGCCAGGCCCACTGCATGTCTAACAGGGCTAAAGCCCCAGACCAGGCTCAGGGAGGGCCGGGAGGCCGCCTCCTGTGGACGCAGCTGGCTGCCTCTCCTCTCGGCTGTCCCAGGGAGGAAAGAGGATCTGAGAAGGGAATCCTCAAGGAGGGTGATTGGCTGGCAGAGCTGCCATGGGGTATTTATAGTCAGGATGGCACAATTGGTTTCCCTGTAGCTGTGGGGCTTCATCCTTGTGCTGCTAGGCAGACTTTGGCCAGGACCAAGGAAAGCAGCCAATCACAGCAGGGGAAGCCCGTTGCTGGGTAAGCTGAGGGTGGGGTGGAGGTGGCTCTGCCCCAACACCTGCTACTTTGAAAAGTTTGGAGCCCTCTAGGCTCCCCCTCACCCCAACCCTGCCAATGCAAGCCCAAGGAATGCACAGGGCAGCAGGAGGGGGCCATGTGGCCTTTCGGATCGGCCCCACGTCCAGCCACATTGGTGCACACTTCACCAGGAAAGCTGTGCAGTTACCAGGGCCTGCGAGCGACCAGGGCTGGCTGCCGTGGGCACAAGAGGGCATGGATGGGAAAAGGGCAGCCTTAATACCTTAGCCAGAATCTCAGCACCAGAAAACACAGGAAAAAAGCTATCATTTCAATTTCTGCATGTATACCAATGCATTTGAAAATAAACCAAGATTTACTTTAAATGACGTATACTGGGGGAGTGGCAGAGCCAAGACTTCTCTGGGCTCAGTCAGGGTCCAGAGCCTCTCTCTGACCCTGCATTTACCTGAAACTCAATTCTCAGTGTGATTTTGTAAGTACGACTATAATCACCCTCTTTAATGACTGACATGCTGTACTAAGATCCACTTCACGTCTTTTACAAGCGTCTGGTGTTCGTCTTGTAACAGTGACAATGTCACTTGTGTTTTGTTGTGTTTTTCCACTAAGCTTCCCCTAAATCAAGAACTCAGAAACGGTTAAAAATAAAATAAGATGGGACCAGCAGTTAGCCTAATGGGTGTGTCGCTGGACTCCCACATAGTCGACCGCGGTTCGAGTCCTGGACCCGGTGGCTTAAACTCACGCCGGGCGCGTGTGCGTACATGCCCAAGATCCCGAGAGGAAAATGGAGGAGAAGGGATTACGGCGTGGCCATCCCCCCGGGGGGTGATTTCTCTCTTTCTGTCTCTTTGTCTCTCTCTGTCTGTTTGGCGAGCGCACACGCCCTATAGCAAAAACCTCTCCAAAAAAAAAAGATGAATTTGATATAGTTTAGTCCTCTCTTGATATAGTAACGTGTCTGAGAAGCCTTAGGATAAATGTCCGACAATTCAGGCCAGGTAAGGGAAGGCTGTGACGGACACACGCAGTGTCTCTGTCCTCCCACCGGCAGCGCTGGCCCTCTCGCCCACTCTTAGCCCGCCTAGCATGCATACACCGACGCCCTGTATGGACTGCCTGTGGCTAGCACGTCTCTGGAGGTCTGGTTCTCACCATAGCTCTCCCTAGTGCACGGCATGGAGCACTGGCTTTGGTGCTGGCTTCAGTGGGCCAAAGCTGGTGTAGCTGCTCTCGGACGGCCCCAGTAGCAAGGTTAAGGTGCCACCACGCACATGCACGCCCGTCAGCTGAGACTCAGAAGGTGGGGAGGTGGGAGGAGGCACGTCTTAAGGATGACTCCTACTCATAGGCAGGGCAGGGGACACAGAAAAGCACTTCCCCGGCAGGGCACTGTGTCTTTTGTGGTGAGTTAGGAGTAATAATAATTCTTTTTTCTTTTGGAGAGGTTTTTGCTATAGGGTGCTTGCGCTAGCTGGAAAGACAGAGAGAGACAGAGAGACAGAAAGACAGAAAGCAAGAAATCACCCCCTCCCCCCGGGGGGCGGATGACCACACCACAATCCCTTCTCCACTCTCCTCTCGTAATCTTGGGCATGCATGCATGTGCGCTTGGCCCGAGTTTAAGCCACCGACGGGTACGATACTTGAACCGCAGTCGACTACATGGGAGTCCAGCGACATAGCCATTATGCCATCTGCTGGTTCCTGGAATGAATGAGGTGAACTCCACCCCGCGAGTGCGTCGGTGGGCCAGGGGACGGCGGAGGGCTGTGCAGAGAAGGACGTGAGAAGGTCCTGGGGGCCTCTGAGTAGGCGAGAGGGCTGAAGAGCCAGGCTCCGGGCTGAGCTTCCAGGGGCAGTGCCGAAACCGCACTGCCGTTGGTCTCCTGCGGGAACCTCTGTGGTCCGAGGAGCACTGGCTGCTCCTCCTGTGCCATGGAAGGAGTTCGACATGTGACATTTGTTCTTCTGACATTGGCTGAGGGGATGAATGAATCTGCTCTCAGAACTTCATTCTTGTCTTCTGTTACTGTTGGAAGCATAACCAAACATAGCTATCTGGTTTTCTATTTGCCGGCAGTCCTGTTTGCCCATTGGCGGAGCACCATGGAAGCCAGTCCCTACAGAATGGCCTTTGAGGAGCCTGTCATCTAATTCCAGAGCTCACATAGCCAGGGTCACAGAGCTGCCCACTGAAGCTCTGGGTGGGGAGGTCTGAACCCTCATGCAGCCACCAGGAGCATTCCCAGTGATGGGTGTCCTGGTGACTGGGTTAACACAATTGGAAAGGCGCAGAACCGGGACCACTACAGTCAGCCTGCTGAAAGTGTCCCCAGAGACACCCCAGGCCTGGGGGTGACTGAGTCCTGGAACCAGACAGAAGAGGGTTGGGGCTGACTTTTTCTTACTGCATTCTGGATCTTAGGCCAGTAAGGAGCTACCGAACTCTTGACCAGCACCCCCAGGCTCAGGTAGTGCCGTCTCAAGGCAGGCCACTATTCTTTTATTGAAAAACTTTTTTTAAAAGAATTATTTTATTGGGACCAGCAGTTAGCGTAATGGCTATGTCGCTGAACTCCTATGTAGCCGACCATGGTTCAAGTCTCGGACCTGGTGGCTTAAACTCACACTGGGTATGTGTGCGTGTATGCCCAAGATCCTGAGAGGAGAATGGAGGAGAAGGGATTGTGGTGTGACCATCCCCCCTGGGGAGGAGAAGGGAGTGTGACCATCCCCCCTGGGGAGTGAGTTCTCACTTTCTAGCAAGTGCATACACCTTATAGCAAAAACCTCTCAAAAAAAAAAAAAAAAAGAACGATTTTATTTAACTTTATTTAATTATTTACTTCTTTTTTTTTATTTTTTAATTATTTTTTTAATTTGACCAGAGGGACAGAGTGAGAGAATGAGGGAGCAAGAGAGTGAGAAAAGAGAATGAGAAAGCAAGCCACTAGGTCTGGGGTTCGACCTGATTTGGTGGTTGGCCATGTGGGAGTCCAGCACACTTAACCACCATGCCACCTGCCGGCTCCTTACTGGAAAACTTGTGAAATACAGAAGCCCTGCACGACATGAGCAGCCCTGTCTCCTGTGGGAACACTCGCACCTCACCTTCCCAGGCTGTGCAAGTCCTCCCTGTGGCAGCAGACAAGTGGATGCTGAGGTTTATGGCCTCGGTCCCCAGCGACGGCCTCTGGAGAGCCCAGGGCCTGATGCCAGGGAAAACATTCCGGGGTCCCAGTGGCCCAGGAGGCCTGGTGGAGCTACTAGTAGCCACGTTTTGCTCAGTGGTTAGGAGGTTAGGGCCAGTCTTCGTTCCAACAAGCGAGACCAGCCCTTACGGTTGTTTTTCAATGTACTGAATCCCAGAGATGGAAAACAAAAATAAAACCAAAAGGCATTTACCATGAAGATCATTTCCTTCCAACTTCTGCCATCTCCGGATTCCATTCCCCATGCCTGGGAGCCCTGTGAAATGACAAGGACTGGTGTGAGGTTTTCTGTGGGAGAGACCCAGGGAGCAAAGAGCGGCACACCAGTTGCAGGATTATCTGGGTTAAAGCAGCACTGGGGAAACCGGGCTCTCACAGGATCCCAGGGAGGCTGCTCTGAATGAAATACATTTTGGGGGAATGAAGGCAACCCTTGGAATTTAAAACATTAAAGGGAATGTTAAAACAGCAGTTTTCAAGGCTAGGGAGTGAGTTAGCAGGATGATCCAGGGAGAATTTCTGCAGCATCTCTGCTGCATGAACGAACAGCATTACCGTGGAAGACATTCGCTGCCCACTCAGGTTGCCCATTTCTGTGTGTGGTGAGCCCCTGCCCCTTTGCAGCCATGAAGGGTGAGGGGTGGCAAACACCTGTCCCCGTGGGAACAGAAAGGACGGCCGCTCACTCTCTCAGCTTCCCTTGCAGCTAGAGCCTGGGCACGTGCGGCCTGCCATGCCACCGAGGTGCTCGAGCGCCTGTCTTGGGACCTGGTGATGCAGCTGGAAGGGAAGGAGGCTCCGCTTCTGGTGGCAGCTGGAAGTGGTAGCTGCAAAGTCGAGTTCCTGGCACAGAACTGGCCTACATTCTGGCAGTGGGAGCTGGGGCAATAAAAGCAAGCTCCTGGCACGGACCAAGCGTCTGCGGCTCCTCGGTGGCTGTGGAGGTTTCCTCACCAGACCAGCCCTGCAGTGCAGTTTCTGGCACTGCCCCTGGAAGCTCAGCCCGGAGCCTGTCCTTCAGCCCTCTCTGCTGCCCAGAGGCCCGAGTGCCTTTCGACGTCCTCTGCAGAGCCCTTCACAGTCGGCGCCTGTGGCTCACTGACGCGCTCGTGGGGTGGAGTGTAAGTCACATGGACGTCTGGGACAAAGGCTGAGACTGACGCACTTTCAGACTCGGGGCACGAGCTTGCGCTGCCTTCCCCTGCAACGGGATACAGGAGCCCTTCTCTCCGATGGGAGCCAAGGGCTTCCAGCACGTTTCCGAAAGCGCTGCCCTAGGGAGACATCTTGGAGGGCACTAGGTCATTGGGGGGAATGGGAGGGACCATCTGCTGCCCTTGCAGCCCAGCTCCCTGGGGATCCAGCCTCTCCCCACTCTCCTCGCCCCTTCGTCCCTCTGCCACAAGGTCGTCAGGTGGTTATAGCCTCATTCAGTCCTCTGCATTGCCATAACTGAGCTTCAACTTTTTTCTGATACAGAGCTCGGGCTCTCCTTCACAGAACCGAGGAAGACAGCTCTCCGGTGGATTTGGAGCGTAGAGGAAGCCGGAGGAGATGCCCGGAAGTGGGCATGGGTTTGTTCTGAATAGTACACAGCAACGGGACGCCTTGTTCAGCACCTTCCCTCCCACTCACCCAGGCTGTGTCCTGAGGAGTGGACCCGGACTAGGCTGGGATCTCTGGGGCATAATGAATGCCCAGATGGCCCTGGAGGCCATGCGCTTCCCCTCTTCCTGCTCTGGTGCAAAGCTGAGAGCGAACAGGTGACAGGTCTCTCCGTGTCACTGTATCTTAGAGAAGCCTTCCCCAGGAAAGTATCCTGAAAACGGTATCAGCTGAAAGGGTCCAGCACGTGGGGGTCTTTGCTCCCTGAGCCATCGTCTGGGCTCCTGGCCGTTCGTGTCAGGTGCTGGGCACTCTCAGGGCAGTCCAGGTGCCTGGCATTCCCTGAGCTTCTCTGAGTTCTTTGCCGTCTCTAGTGTCAGAGCCTTTATGAGAGATGTGGTCAGAGGGAATTGGGACTTGTGGTCTGTCCTGGAACTGGGCCTTGTGGGGGTTCTCTGGCCTCACCACACCCTTGGGAAGGCCTCCTGGACTGTGGTGCACAGTCTCATTTCTATGGAAAAACCTGATTTCTTAACTACAAATCTGATAGCAGCCCTGAGAACTAAAGAACCAACCAACCCAAACAAATACCCCCAACTCCCGCCAAGACTGTGCACCTGGCGGCGCTGTCAGCCCTTAGGGATGGATTTCTTTCCTGGGACTGCCTCCTCAGGAGGTCTCCAGGAACTCTGGGGGCAGCTCCAGCCTGTGTGACCGGTGGGCTCAAGGCCACTTGCAGTATGATTGCTGAAGCCAGGCGGTGGGAGGTGGATGCTCTGTGGGCAGGGGCTCTGGGGACAGAAGAGCCCGGCGGGAACTCCGAGGAGCTCCAGAGCTGGAGGGGTGGCAGATGTGGATCGTTTTCCTGCCTGAGCAGCGGGCATCACTCCTGGGGAACTGGAGCACAGTCTAGAGCCCCTCCCACCTCCCACCACCTTCAGCAGGGCCTGGAAGGGCCTTGTCAGAGACCAGGGACCATGAGGTGCCTAGATTTCTCAGGGCCAAATTTAACTTCCATTATTACGCATGGGCAGGACGTTCCCACTGTGTCCTGTCATCTGGAGACCGCGCAGGCCTGCGGACTGCTTTCCACAATCACAGAACAGGCACTTTACTTGAGCGGTCTCTCTCCTTCCCCACAGTCGTGGGCCAGCGAAGCTGATGGACAAGTTCAAGTGGAGAGAGCAGATTCCCAATCTCACTCTGCCCCAGACGGTGTTCTTTCAGCTCTTTCGTGCCTTCTATCTGTAGGAAGCTGAGGGAGTCTCCAGAGACGGGAAACTGAGGCCATAACTTATGCGAGGGGGCTCCTCACTGCAGAGTGGGACTGACACAGACTCCCCGGGGCGTGCCCTGCTCCGTGCGGTGCAGGGGCCAGGCCTCCGCTAAGCATGAGTAGAGTGCAGTGCAGGGGCCAGGCCTCCGCTAAGCATGAGTCAGGCCTGAGGCTCTGGTCCCCTCCTTCCAGGGCATCTTGCAACCCCGAGCTGCACCCTTCGGGGAGTGGCTGGAGGAAACAGGCTCCTGGGGTGACAGAAGCACCCACAGGCCCGCACGGGGAGTCAACCCAGGACAAGCACCCGGCTGCTCCTTCCAACTGGACACCGGTGCCAGGGCTGAGAGTCGCAGGCAGCCCTGGGGGAGAAGGTCCGGCTCTCTGACCTCGCTTGGGGATGCATGGGCCCCCCTCCCTCGGCAGGCAGGTGGGCCCTGGGGCGCAGAGGCCCGTGTGCCCTGGTTTCAGGGTTCGCAGCGCTCGCATTACCTCCTCGGCGCTGCGGCGCGCCCGGGTGCCCCTGCTGGTCCGAGTGCGCGCCCTGCGCGGCGCGCCGCTTCTCCGAGTGCACGATCAGCAGCATGTCGATGGACACGGCGTTGCAGTCCTTCTTCAGCTCCATGGTCCGCCTCCTGCCGGCCTGCGCGCCGCGGCCGCTCGCGAGGCTGCCTGCGCTGCAAATGGCCCCGTGCGCGCCGCTGCCCGGCGCGGGAGAGGGCGCTCCCCAGCCGCCCGAGCCGCTGCGCCCCGCGTTTCGCTGACTCTGCCAAACACGCCATTAGGGCCCGCCTGGGAGGGCGCTACCCTAATGAAGCGGCTAAGTCACCTTTGAAAGGAAATCCCCGGCCGAGCCCTGACCTGCTCCGAGGCCGCAGGGGGCAGAGGCGCCCGGCCTCCCGCCCCGCCCCGCCCCGTGCGCTGGGAGCGCTAGTCCCGGGCTCCCTGCGTCTCCTCCGGGGGCCGCGCGCGGCCTTGCCCCGCGGTCTCCGGAGTTAGGGGTCGAGGAAGAAGGAGTCCCCGAGCCGGCCCGGGCAGACCTCCTCCGAAAACCCCTGGCAAAGACAGACATTGCCCAGCTGCGCACACCGAGCATGGTTCAGGAGGGAAAACCTCAAGGCGGCTCCAGACCGAAAGGCCTAGGTCTCTCTCCTTCCTTGGGTCGGTTTTGGGGGTTGACAGTCCTCTCTGTGGAGGGGAGCTGAGGGTGGGTGTTGGGGTCGAACCTCCCCTGAATTATGACCCCTCCAGAACTTGGACCGTGCCCACTGGACATCAGCCTAGCAATCAATTCTCTTTGGCCTGGAAAGAGTCTTCAAATCTCTGTTCCTTCTAGAAGCCTGGCTCCTGCAGGGTGGGGAGGGGCGGGAGAAGGGGAGCTAGGGCCCCGAGCTGCCGGCTGCAGTCCAGGAGCTGGACCTGAGAACCCGTGTATTTTTAGCTGGGCCTGGCCTGCCCAGCAGCAGGGCTTTGGGCTGTAGGCCTCGGGAGTGTTTACTCGGCCATCTGCCTGGGAGCCCCGCCCGGCTGAGGACAGCCCTATGAACTGGGGTTCCAGCGTTAAGAAATGCCCACAGGGAGCCTGGAGCTCTGGGACCCTCCCACGGCTGACTGCGCTGTCCTGCTTTGCAACAGGGTGCCTGAGGCCCCCGCTCTGGGGATCTGCCCTTAGCCAGGCTGCATTCCAGCGCGCCCGTACCACTTGCTGGCCACGCAGCCTCGGGGCAGCCGTGTCCCCTCCGTTTTCTCACCCGGTCGTGCAACCTCGGGTCAGCCGTGTCCCCTCCGTTTTCTCACCCGGTCACTGGGGCAATAACTCTGGGAGGGCTGTGGTGAGAATGGCATGCACGTAAGGTGCCCGGCCCCGAGTGAATGGTGTCCGACAGTAGCTGACATTCTTACCTCATTTAAAGGGTCAGGAAAGGGACAGGAGAGGTGACAAGTCAGCATGAGTTGGGGGCTTCAGGCAGTCACACGCTCAGATGCTGAAGGCCTTCTCCGCCGAGGCTCACAGTTCGGTTGAGTGGAAAGGCAGCCGCTCTGCGTTCATCACCACCCCCTCTCACCCACTGGGCCTCTTAGGACAGGAGAGACCATTGGTTTCCAGCGATGCTGACCTGGAGTCCCTAGAGAGCTGAGCCCATGGGTAGACGAGGAGGTGGGTGTGTCCCCAGGCAGGCTTCCTTCTGCTACAGTGAGACCTGTCCTGTCTTGTCCCTCCGTCTGCATGTGTGGCAGCATGTGGGCTCACACGTGTGTGCACACACACCAGAGAGACGGGCTAAGACTGCTGTCTAGATGGCTGAGGAAGTAAGAGCTATGGGTTACATGAAGCTTCTGGGGTCTTGGAGATTGCGGAGGCACAAGTTCATCTCCCGGAGTTTCCCCTAACTCCTGCAGGGGTGGGTTGTCTGTGGTGCAGGAACCAACAGTAATCCCTGCCGGCAACTCTCGGGGCTGGGTGAGGCTGGGGGGATGGGCAGGGAAGGTGAAGGTCCCTGATACTACATTTGCTTTGCTACCCCAACCCTTACTTCCCTGCTAGGAAAAGTCATTCTTAGGAAGTTGCTCGGCATGATGGCAACTTCCAGAGCTGGCTCTGGAGGAGACGATGCCCAGCCAGAGGGCCAGGAGATGGTCTAGGGCTTTCTGCCCCTCTGCTCTGTCTGAGAGAAAGAGGCTTTGGAGCAGGACACTTAGAAACAGATCATTCTTGGTTGCAGTGGTCTGTCCTGTGCGTTGTGGAGCGTCTGTCTAGTGGCATCCCTGGGATCTCCCTACGAGACACCAGGAATACTTCCTTCCTTATTACGACAATCCAGAATGTCTCCTTTCCTAGAGGAGAAATTGCATTGAGAACAGGACTTTGGAGCAAAGTCTTAAAACAGGGGTCACTTTCACTGCCTGAGATGCTGCTGCCTCTGGCTCCCAATGCTGCCCCACACCTGGACCCGTGTCCCAGAGCACCCTTCCCCATCTCATGACTTATTAACTGTTGGGACAATTAAAAAGAGAGGGATTACAGGGACCATCAGATGGTGTAATGGTTACATCACTGGACTCCTATGTGGTTGACAGTGGTTTAAGTGCCAGACCCAGTGGTTTTAAACTCATGCTGGGTGCATGTGTGTGCATGCCCACGATACCACGAGAAGAATGGAAGAGAAGGGATTGCAGTGTGGTCGCCTCCCCTGGAAGGTGATTTCTTGCTTTTTGTGTCTCTGTCTCTCTGGTTAGCCTGTATGCCCTGTAAGAAAAAAACTCTTTCTCTAAAAAAAAGAGAGAGAGGTGTCATAAAGTCTTGGCATTCTTCAGGAGCTCCAAGATCTGTGGTAGCCTGGAAGGCTTCCAAGGTGGAGGTAAGGGCTGACCGTGAAGAATGGCTAGACTCTTTGCGAGGGAGATTCAGGTGGAAGTGACAGCAACAACAGAATAGTCTCACAGCTCAACTTACTGAGGCCTGCCAGAAGTGAGGACCGGAAGATGAGATGCTTTTCTCACTGTCCACTCTTTCCCCATTTCTGGCCTCAGCTGACCTAGCTACTCTTCCCACTCCTCCCTACCTGTTGAGGGCTGAGAGGAAGATACCATAGGAAATGTCATGACATTGAGAAAAGTTGGATGTACCAGGAAAAGGGGAAGCAGGAGAAAAGACTGAGGCTACTGAGGTGTCATTTGGACAGAAGTTTTCCCCTTCTGCTCAAATTTCCAGTCTACTTGTTCCCACAATCAAAGGGGCAAAGAACAGATCCCCAACCTGAAATTCACACTGCACCTTCTGTAGATCCATCGTTCCCACTTTCTCTGCTAAACCCATACATGCTGTGGCCAAAGCCTTGTTTTCCACTCCCCCAATACATCTGGGCTTGCTGCTTCTAGGCTTTTCTCAACACACTTGTCCATCCATCCTGCCACCATCTTGAATAATATGGAGTTCATGGAGCTCTACATTCTGACCTAACTAATTAATCTATATCCTTGTGTTGGTAGTTGACAAACTGGGGCCTATCTATATTTTGGAAAAAAAAATCTAAATACCTTAATCACAAAGATCTGGGAATTTTAAGACACCAAAAGACAGAGAATAGTCAAAATAGCTGTATTGTTGTCTTTATTTTCTGTCGAAGTTATTGGTCAGACATGTAGAGCTGTCACCTACATGTACTGCTTCCACCTTTTTGCTTGAAGGCGGGATTATCGATGGTCTGAATGGCTCTGGGCCCTGAGCTGCCTTTGCTATCTGAGAGATGAAGAATAATCAACAGGGGAGGTCTTATTCCTGGCAGTTGCCCCCACCACAGAGATATGTGTTCTGACTTTCTAACTCCCACTGTTTTTTCTCAAAAAACATCGTAGCTCTAGAAGGACTGCTAGTCAAAACTCTTTTTGCCTCATTTGGGATCGCAACTGGCAAATTTCTCTCTTTCTATAGCCAATACAAGAAAAGCTTTTAGCATGGAATTTGCAGACACGACATACTTTTTCTTTATTAGGGAGGAAACACAGAGTCTGAGGTGTGAGAGAGCAGGCCCAGAAAAAGAGCAACTGACCAAGTCCCAGCCTCCTAATCCCTTCAGCTTCCCCTCAGATGGGCAAATTGTAATGGTACGCCAGAAACCTTCCCACTGCCTGTATAGCTTTCTCATAGTTTCTTGGCCAGTTTGGGTTAGCTTGCTTCTACTTCTGGGTTTTTATTTATTGCTCCTCCTTTTTATCCTGGAAAACCTTTCTGGACCTTTCTGACAAGTATAGTCTAACCCTCCTTCAAGGACTGACGGCAGCCCTCACCTTCACCTTGAAGTCTTCCTGTCTATTCTTGTTCTTGGGGCTTCTGGGGAATGGCGAGTCTCTGTGATGTCTTCCTTTTTAACTCTCCTAGTAGTTAACTTTGAACTTGGAAGATTGTATCTGCTCTGGTCCCACACCTATCAAGTCTGGAAAACATGTCAATCTCCTCTAAAGTAGTTATGCCAGGAACATGTATGTTTCCAGCCAATGCCACTTAGCAGGGTGACATTGTATAATGTGCTTAATCTCTTTGGGCCTCAGTTTTCCTTGACTGCCAAATAGCTGAGGGTGTTGCTGAGATTAAATGAGATAAAGTACATACCTAGGACACAGTGGCAGTAGTTAAAAACTAGTGAGTGGAAGCAGTGGTTTTTAGGAGCAGCAAGGTAGCCTGGCCAGGAATAGAGAAGGAGTAAGAGGTACGCCACTTTTTGGAGCCATTAAAAGGAATTTTGTGGGGGCAGGCCCAGTATTCTAGTGGTTAAGGAAACCAGATCCTACATGGTCAACTGTGAATCAAGTCTCAGCCCTAGTGGCTTGAAAAACACAATGGTCATGTGTGTGTGTGTGATGGTGTGTAAGTCCCAAATCCTGACAGAATGAAGAAATGGAGAAGAAGGGATTGTGGCAGGACTATGCCCCACTAGGTGGTGCTTTCTCTCTTGCCCGCTCTCTGTCAAGTGTATGTGCCCTCTAGCACATATACCTACACAATTAAAATGAATTTTGCATTGCAATAAGGTATACTATTCTTCAGTGAAGATGGATAAATCGTAGAGGGCTTATTGCTTCTACTTAGTTTTCCATGAAGATGATGCCCAGCATAGGCAGCACTTTATTCCCAAACCCTATTAGGTGAAATGCCACATGA